TGGCTCTGGAGATTTATGTGAGCACAGATTTTGGTCCAACAGATTCAGATTTACAGGAAAACCTTTGTAAAATGCCAAGCAATTTCTTGCTAAGATCAAACACTTTGAGAAAGTGAATCTATTTTTGGTGATCTCTGGCAATGCTACATATAGGTGCTTCCTTTGAATTGCAGCTGCAGATAAATAAGTTCTAATTTCCTATGCAGAGCCCACATTCAGATAATTTCCTAGCTGTCTGCCTAGTGAAACTCCCACACAGAAAAAGAAGAGGCTTTTTACGGTACCTTGAGAGCAGTTTGTTGCACAGATGATGCATTCTCCAAGGGAGGCAGCTGTAATTGTAAAGTAGGTGAACTCTAGACCTGAACTCTGCTGTGTTACAAGAGTCATATGAGAATGGTGATGGTAGCTGAGGAGCTGTGCTGCTACAGGGAAGCAAAGTCAGACCCAGTTAAAAGCTTTTGATCCCAAATACCACAGTTAAAGCCAATGGCAGTTCAGAAGCTGGGAACTGCTAAATAAAAGCTAAATAAGTGCTTTCCCTTCACTAAAATAGCCTATATTGCATTTACCAAACAAATCTCGTGGAAAATGGAAAAGCAGAGCTTTTTCCATATTGTTTGGGCAACATAGATACGTAGTACACAAAAATAAGAGATGAACATTATTAAGGAATGTCTATATAGCTCATTTGACAACAGACAAGCTTAGGTAATCAGCTCCTGTAAAACACTGCTGCAGGGTGAGAAAGCTCAAATGAAAATATTCGCACAGAAACATGTTTGCCAACCTGACACAGAAGCATTACATAACATTTTGGAGAGAAAACTAAAAATAGTGTTAAGATGTTTGAGGATTTCTTTTTTGGAAGGACGAGATGGGTATCGAGGTGTCTGAACTTGTGCTGCCGGCTCTTTGGAACGCAGGAGGGAAAGGGAAGTTTCTGGGAGCTGCAGTCATGGACTGGAGCATTCATCCTGAAACCGTACAGGCTGGAAACAAGGAGTACATGCAGCTGGATACGGACCAGACTTCAGAGACAGCAGAAGCCCAGTAACTTCTGTGTGTCAACAGACCGAAATCTGCTTGCATTAGCAGGTGAGACTCGTTAGCGTGGTGCATCGTTACTTACCACTCCAACCTCACGCAAGTCTGACTGATACCACTAAAGTCAAGGAAAGCTTATTTGGACATGGTCTTCTACAAGAGTGTTTGTATCACCAACAAAAGCCTCAGAGTTGCTGGCCTGGGAGACCTCCAGCTGTGGGAGGTGGTCTTGATCCTCTGCAGAAACTGTGTCTTCCACCCTTTCAAGAAAAGATGTGCCTGCCTGATTACAACATCTTTTGCAAAAAACTGAAGGCCCAAGTAAATGCACAGACTGCACTAACCTTTGACCTGTACAGCCCCAGGAGTGGGGAGAGCAGCAGAAAAAGTAAATTACCCCACTGGAGCTCATTCTGTACCTACAGAGTTCTTAAAATGGGGCTTTATCTGGCTGGCTCTTTTCATAAACAATGAATTTGCAGACATAGCATTTTTCATCATATTTCCCCTGCTTCAGAGTACATGACATGCACTGTCTCTATGGCTCAATAAAAGGTCATGACTGACCAGCTGGTAACACAGAATGCATTTTTCCACTAATGACAGGGTATTCTAGCTTTTGTTTCACATGACAATGACTGCATATTTACATAAACCCTACATCTGTTTAGTTAAATTAAGCCAGAGGGTGATGATCTTTGTCTTTACAAAAGAGCTGATTTAATTTTATTGAACATAGCTTTCCATTTAAAAGATCAAAGTCAGTGCAGCCCCCTGCAGCAACTATTCAGTCTTACGTGTTTCTTCAAAAATTCAAATTACAAAAATAAGGGAACTAGGACTGAAAAACCTAATGAATTTTAACAGACAACTAGCAATTATTCATTCCTTTAAAAAAAGAAAAAAAAAAAAAAAAAAAAAGAAAAGGATAATGGGCTTGAAGAGAGACATTTTTTTCTTCCATCAAAGTCCCATGGAATGTCCTGACTCTTCTTCCACTGAAACTGTCAGGAATTGATAGTGGAGGCAGCATGTGCATTTTGAGGCAAAATTCTAGAAACTGGTAATGCTATGCAAAAACCACACAAAATACAGAACAGTGAAGAAAACCTAAAGAACTGAGCTCTCTGGCTATCACGTGTTAGTTCAAAGCACTCAGCACAGTAAACTCCTACTTGATAAAACATCAGTTTGTATATAAAGTCACTTGTTATCTCTACAGAAAATAATGGTAAAAGTCATGACTATGAAACTCTATCTGTAATGGGGATAGGTATTTCATGTCTTCTGAAAGAGCCTGCATGTCACCGCCTAGCATCTGACTTCAAGGAATTTGTCTTGCAAACTTTTATTTTTGGGAGAAGAATCGCTGAACACGAGCCTTACATTTCACTGCTGAAGTCTGATAGTTGCTTACAAGCGGTTACCTCATCTCTCAGGCTGATAGCCGCACTTACTACTCCCAGCTCTGGGTGAGAGCACCATGGGTACACCCCATGCTATGGCAGGACGGGGCCAAGCACACACCAAAATGCACTCTACTCTGCTTCCATCCTGTGGTTACCCCCTTCAGAAACCTGGGAACATGGACCAAAAGGAGCTGTAGCATATTCCAGGTTAGCCCTCAATCAGGACACTGAGGAAACCGGACCTGAAGTCTGTTTTGATTCCAAGGAAACCTTTCCAATAGATGTTGCTTCTACACTGCATCTATTTAATACAACAACATTAGCATTTCAGCTTGGATCAGCAACGCACTTCTGAAGGGTTCCTCCTGCCCACCCCTCCTCACCATGCTTTGTTTCACATCGTGGAACATCCTGGCGTCTGTGAACTGGACTCCATCCATCCAAAGCTAAACCAAATCTGGTGTAGGAGCATAATTACTGTGCTACAACCGCTGACACGAGACCAGTCAATGTGATGAGATTCGAGCTGGTCTAAATAAATCTCTGAAATACATGAAGGGTGCACACTGGGTCCTCTGTGCCAGCTCCTCTGTGCTACTGATCTGCCCTACTTGTTCCAGGCCACCTGCTAATATAGGCATAGCCCAAAGAGGCTGCACTGCTGCTTTCTAACCCTCTCACTGCTTAAATGGGTGAATAGTGCCATTTTAGGCACCATATGGTATCCCTGCAGGCCTCCAGCTGCCACTCTGCAGATCAACAGCTCAACCAAATGTCTCGTGTCATATCTGGCAGCCCCATACAGACATCTCAGATACCTTAGGGAGACTAACTGTCTGTGGATGTCTATGTTTAGGCAACTGAATACCATTTTATTTAAGTATCTAGTCCCCTCTAGACCAAAAAAAATAGAAGCAAATTAGATTAAAAATTAGAAGAGAGGTGCTTGAATTACTATAGTGAGTTCTATAAAATGACATTTTTCGTAAGATTCTCTCACCTAAAACTCTTGGAGACTTTTTGTAACTAAAAAGTACAGAAAGATTAATTTGGGCCAATGAAATTATTGGTTTGCACTTCAGGAAACATCTGAACTTTACAAATAGCATTTATTGTTCAGTAAGGGCCAGTTTCACTGACTTTAACAGAACTATTGAGAAGCTTGAAACTAAGTGTGTGTGTACTTCACTGGTCTAACACCCCAGGTGCTCTGAGGACTGTAGTATCAGGATCTTTGCAGGATCACATCCTAAAGCTATGTCTGTACTTGTACGTTAGTAAGTAACTAAATTTGCTGGGGTAGTAATAAAAGAAACAGGCTTTGGCATGTCCCCTGCCCTGAGGATGACTGACAGAGAGCAGCGTTCTTCTGTGCTAGCAAATGCACGGCCTCTGGAATGGGCTGGCTGCAGAGAATCCGAGGTGCTCCAGGGGCTGACCACGCTGGGACTGTGGCACACAGAGGCTGATGGCCACAGGCCAGCGCTGTGTCATGGGCTGATCTCCCAGTTTTACACAACGATCACACTCCAAAACTGAAGAAAATCGGTCTTATCTACCAAGAAACAGCCTAAGTTTCTGAATCTGCATGGAAATAACTTGGAGCTTCAGATCTTTTAAGCACTGAAGCCAAAATTCTGACCTCTTGTGGCCATCAAACTGCCAGCAAAACAGTTTCTAACACACGAAGCAGGTGATGCTCTCGCTGGGTGTGCAAGAGCCAGCATTCGTGTATTGCTGCTGCTCCTCTCTCAGACCTGCCTGCGTTTCAGCAGCCAGCGACAAACCTCTACATTTGTTAGAAATGTAATTTAAAGTAGTAGTGCAGTCTTTTTAGACACTGTGGACAAAAATGTGGCAGAAATGGGAAGTATGGGAGTGATTATGCACACCAACATCCTGCATGTGGCACACAACCTCTTGATGACTTTTAATTCTAACAAAGGCATGAGAAAGGGAACATTAGTCTGCCTCGCTTTGCTGTTCTGCTAGTCTGCCTAAGCAAATTGGGGTTAAAGAAAAACATGGACCATGAATATATACTGCATGTGTGTAATTAATAGTGTCTGATTGCCACTCGTTGCATATATATTATCAATGCTCTTTTAAATACAAACCTATACTTTTAAAAACTCAGCATTAAAAACCATGCAGTTTGGCTTCATGCAAGTTTGCAGAAGGAGAAAAGGCATTCAGTGGTGTTTCTCAGGCCAACTGATTTCTAACCTGGAAAAGGTAAGGCTACACAATGTTTAGGGCAAGAACGCTGTTTTTACCCTAATTATCCATGTACAGTGATGCCCTCTATATGTGAATTTCCTCTATCCAGGACTGAATACTTGAATATTTCAGAATTTTTAAAGTAAGTGGAGCACCTAGAACTATGTATTTTCTGTCTGCATGTATGGAAAATCCCAAGGCTACTGTTATGCAAATAATACACCAAATACAACAGCATATATTACTAATATGTATAAATGTATCATATTAATTGCATATATTCACAAACATTAAACAGTGAATGAATAAAATCTATTTTTAGAATATCACCTTGCACATACAGATTGGATATAGGAACTGCACTAGTAAGTACATTTTTCTTTACAGGGCAGATTCATTGATAATTGCACTTGCTTAACACATGGAAGTAAGAAAAACAATGCTTTAAATCAAATTTACATTTTAGTTATGTTCTTTATGGATCTGCAGTTAATTTCTGACCCCACAAAGGCTTATCCATGTATTTAGTTTTGCGTTTAGCAGTAACAATAGTGTAACTAATGTACTTAAAAATAAGCCTTTGCAGAGCTGAAGTCTTGATGATACATTCAACATGTGCAAAAACCCACACAAGAAAGAAAAGGTGAAGTGAAAAGGTACAATCATTCCCATTCCTGAGATTCTCAGCAATTTTTCTTTTCACATTCTCTTAAAAGAACACAAATACACATTAACAAATATTAATAGGATGTTTTGTTCACAAATATTTTAGCAATCATTTATAATTTAATTTCAGGTTCTTCTCAGGTATCTCTTTAGAATATGTCATCATTCTCTGTTTCCCTCTAAAATGAATTGATATTTCAGTTGCATATGTTGACAGGCTTGGACTTTATTACTTAGGAGCCTAGATGTGCACTGGCCCTCACTTACGACACATTTTTTCCAGGATGCCCATCACAGCAACAGCTACTCATTCTCTAGTCCAGTAAACAACACTGGGCCACTCGATTGTCTGTTCCTAAATGTTATGATTATTTTATTGGTTTACTGCTGGATGACATTTCAGCCTCTCCTTGGGCACCTAATGCTCCTGCTGCAGTCCAGCGCAATCTGGTACACAACGGATGCAGGAACAGGTTCTCCTGGTGATGAAGATGCAACATGATAGTGTCTTGAAATGTCACAGTGTCAGAGAGCACTTTGAGGTACTTCGTACCATAGTATGTTGTGGCTTTACTACGAATGTTGAATAACATGTGAGTAGTATTCTGCCTTATACAGAAAAGTACAGTAGGCAACAGTGAAACAGATAACCTGCACTGATTACTGTTGACAGAAGAAAGAAAAGATTCTTCCGTGGGATGAAACAGTGCACACATAACAGTGCATTTTCAGGTACCAAAACAATAGGGGCAATAAAAAGCATCTTTTAAGTGCACTAAAAATTATCTTTTAAGTGCTATTACACAAAAGTTGCTTTCACAAAGCACAGTGTTTCTTAATTAGTTGTAGCACTGTCTTAAGAACTTCTTCCTTGGAGGGGCTGGCATCAACTTCTTGGCAGGCAGGATTCACCATCCTTCTGTAGGACTCTTCAACTCTATTTAAAACAAGAGAAATGAAACAAATTACAGGAATATGAAATGGCATTAGTCATCAGTCTTGGGAGAAAGTGTTCACACTGCAGAGACAAAGGAAAAAATCTAATATGAAGCTAAGAATGAAATCTACTGCAAAGAGCAATAAACTCATAGTAACTGTTACAGTATGAACCTCAAAGGGCATAGTTTCCTTGACACTGATTCCCAGAGCTCTATCCATATTCACATGGCATGGCATTAAAGTATTTCTTTCTTTACAGCTTTGCACTGGTTACAGTCTGGTATAGCAGTACAGTGGACAACCTGCTTCTAACACCTGAATTAATTTATTCAGAGCCTGCTAAGGTGTCTCTGAACTATATGGCAGGGCATTGTGCAGGTGTGCTCACTGACTGATCTCAGTTTTGAGTTACTGGATTACAGAGTTGACCCATTGTTCAACTCTTTCCTCTGATCAGCTCTGCTAACTGAGGAATAATGGGATGAAATACAGGATGAGTACCTCCTCGCTTAAACTATGAGCCTTCTCATAATGCAGAACTCTTCCACACTTAGACTGTGAGAATGTCAATATCATTTTCTATGCCCCCACAAGTCATAAGATGAATTAAGCAAGATTCTGGATGTTCTCACATCCAGGTTGACATAATTAACAAGTAGAAATAACCAAACCAAAGGCTTTCTGACAGAAATAGGAAGTAAGAGAATTAGAACATGAAAGATTCTTAAATGGCAGCATGTTCCCTAGCTCACTCATCCCTCTGCAGGTTCCGCTATATAAACTGTGTGTCCGCACAGAGTTTCTGTCAGAATTAAGCCGGGGATATTTTTTAAGGTGTATCATCACCAGCTATGTTAAAACCCTAGAGGTAGATTTCAGCTTTGTGATTTGTAGGTGCGGACACTGACATTCAGGTGTCTATAACTGAGGTATCTACATGAGCACTAAGTATTTAAGTTTCCAGTGCAGACAGTGATGATCTAATCAACACATTAGGCAGAGTCTAGACAGCAATTCAGCACACCCTGAAGTCAGATACCCAAGGTGCAATTCAGTTGCTTAACAAATGTATCTAGTACTGCTTGAGATTCTCTGGACTATCTCATTTAGCTTCCAGCTGCTGGACCAGAAAGTGTCCACAGATTCTGCATCACATCTGCCAGCTTCATGCAGATGTCTCAGATCATATCAAATGGCTCTAGATGCTTATGCTTAGATCACTGGGCTCCAAGCAGGTGGTGAGCTGAATCACTTTGAAGGCTCCACTGAATGTATTGACTATTTTATTCTCTTAATCTGGAGCTCAATTCTAGACTTTTCTGGGGAAGCTATGTGCTTTCAACTTCTTCCCCCCCAGTTCTGGAATTTTTAGGTCTCTCTCCTTCACTACCTCAATGAGAAAAGTGCTACAATAAAAGCAGCAAGTATCAAAATACAATTATTTTAACTCAAAGCTCCTTTGCAGGAGAATGAAGCTCTTCACCTTCAGTTTTCACTTTCAGTTGGAAGTGACAGACCCTCCTTGTCAGCTCCAAAAAAAACCTAACCCAAAAGCTTAGATGCAGGAAATCCTTGTCCCAGTAATGCGAGTGGGACATTTACTACTGACCCCACAGGAGCCAAGATTGTCTCCATCCTCTTATCCCTCATTAAAGCATACCTTTGGCGAAACAAGATATTAGCTTCCAGCTCAGCTTCCTCCTTTGTTTTCTCCAGACCCCGACGCTGAAGTCTCTGAACTCGCTCCTCAGGGTCAACAGTCAGGAGAAGAACAAGATCAGGTTTAAGCAGATCCTCTGGCCACTGGTACACCTTGTCGTTAGCTGGAGGAAGATCCTGGACTTTCCCATTTATTTCAGTGGCAATTGTGTAGGCAGCTGTGCTGTGCCAATACCTGTCAGGAAAATACAGAATGAAGAGAGAAATTTTAAAGAGGACACTAGTTCTTAGGTAATATAGGAGACAGGTGTCACTGTAACAACAACTGCAATAATGACAAGGTAGGTGACACTGATTTTGAAGGGAAATGTAAAGAACAGTTCTGTGCTATCCATTACTTCTTAACAGAATGATAATACTCAACACAATATACATAATTACTGTGAATTTTTAATTAAAACATATGGCAAAAGCTACACATTATGCAAACTGTGTTCCAAATAATCCTATCAAAAAAAAGTCTTCTCATAGAGAGGTCAAAAGAAGAGACATTATATGTCAAAATCCAATACCCTTGAGTTCCTTCTTTGTGGTTCCCATTCTACTTCATGCAACAGGCAGTAGAGAAAGTGCAGTCTTCAACGACACGTGAATGAAGACAGATTTTAATAGTTGTGCATTTCACTTGCATTTAACATTCCCACCACTATAAGTCACTGTATTTTATACATTTCAGTGATTTTGAGGCTGGTTAAAACCAGCATTCATACACATGCAAACCACTCTGTATCTGTGTTGTGGGGGAACGTTACAGTACATCTACTAAAAGAAGCCAGGGGTTTCAAAGTGCATCTAGACTTTCTTTATTAAGAGTAATACTGAAAGCTGTCTACGTTAGTGAAAGTAAGAAATATATAAACAAAATCAAAAAAGTGGGAAGCATATTTCTGGCTTTACATCCTCAAAGAGTGAGTCTACCTGAAACTCGGTCATTCTAATCCGCCTGTATCTCAGACCCATCTTACATACAGACATGATCAGCAGCCCTGATTCTCCTCAGGTTTATCACAGAAGCCTGGTTTGGCTCAGGCCCCACAGTCCATACCTCCACTATTCCTAACTGAAGATGTACAACTTTTCAGGTGTCCTAAAGACAGTTATGAGTACCACACTGTGATGGAAGTCCCCCATCTTAAGTATTACTCTTTAGAGTAATTACTATTTATCTGACTATCTGAAAAGTAGCACTTCCAAAAAAAAAAAAAAAAGAGAGAGAAAAAAGAAGAATCCTAGAGTCTGTCATTGACAACTTCTGCTTGTTACACTGAACAACTGTATGATAGCACTGACGTAAGATGACTTCTTAAATATACAAACCTGTCAATGATCACCGGTGCCTGAGTGGATGCTTTCGCTATTTCTGAAGCAAGAATGTAGTTGCCTGCAGCATAAAATGCTCTTTTAATGGGTGCTGGCTCACCATCAAATATTGTCCTCCACTGGCTGATGCAAGATGGTGGGGAACTTAGCAGAATGCCTTTGAGGGTGTCCTTAACAGACCGGGTTACAGTGGTTTTGCCTGCATTCCATTTAGAGGAGGAAACATTTGTTATATTGTGTATCAGATACAACTGAGTTTTGAAAACGGGAAAATGCTCCTACCTGTTCACTTGGAGCACATGTTCTGACACCTGACTATGTAACCTGAGTATCTTGTGATAAGGTTTTCAGTGGGAAATGATTATGTCTGGTTGCACTTCCTACTCTGAGGGCCTTCTACCCCTCTCCCTCCTGCCAGCTTTCGGTCTGCACTCCTTTAAATGCATTAAATGTATGGCAATTTCTGTACATACCCATTTATAACATTTTTCTAGGTCACAGTTCATGTGGATGTTGACATGCTGTCACCCACTACTTTCTTTTTAGAGGGAATTTTCAGTCCTCTTTAACTGAAAAGTCAGAAAAATTTATTCAGAGGCAACTAGTATTTCTCTCTGAGACAAACTGCTGCCAGTTTCCAAGACTACCACCGCTTCAGTTCATTGATTTGAAGACTCTTTTGTAAAAGTATGTTTTATAATCTGCACAAGAAATTTAATTTTCAGTACTCTACTCTTTGTATTCTTTCATTTACATATTATAGATAAGGAATTCATCCACTGAATGAAAATTAGCATAGGCCGTTTGATCCTTTACAAGTAAGAGAAGATGGACTGGTATTTATAACTACTGATTCTTTCAAATCTGTCACAGGTTTCCAGGGCTTTTTGAATTTTTAAGCCTCACGCCTGGCTAAAAGCCATAGCAGTTGCCGTTTCCAACAATTTCTCATCTGTGTTTCTTCAACAGTACATTGCTCTTACCTGTGGCATCCAGCCCTTCAAAAACTACGACGGGAAAACCTCCCTTCTTCTGGTGCTCAGGACATTTCTCCAGCAGGTCGAGTAGGGCTCCAGCCTCCGGGATACGCGCCGCGCACTGCCGGGAGAGATGCGGCCCCTCGCACCCGTCCGCTGCCCAGGCTGCTGCCTGCAAGAGCCGCAGACCGCGGGCACCGCGGCCCCGCACCCCGCCGGCGCTCGCCTCCCGCA